GGGGATCAAGGGGGGTTTATTCTATTTAGTCACATTCCTCACTTCAGAAAAGAGTCCATCCACTTTGAAAAAGATCACAATAAGTGGTCCTAGTTAGAGTGGGAGAAAATGTACAAGAAAATGCAAAATCTTTAAAAAGACCAGGCTTACTGGTCTGACACCCCCAAGCCCTTAGACACCCTTCAAGCTAGGAACTGAACTGAATCCCCATCTCTCAATTGGCAGCCCAATGATAGACAAGCCTATAAGGTGAGCAGTAATATCAGGAGGGTATGTAGTCATCAGAACAAACAAGCCTGTGTGATCAAGGGGACAGCATTTGCCCAGGACAGAGCTGGGAAGATAGGAAGGGTTGAGAAGGAGAGATGAAGGAAGGGTGTGGGCACAGGGAGGGAGGGGGAAGAACACTGTCACAGTGTGGGGATTGCAGGAAATGTCACAAAACAGAATGGAAAACCAATTTGCTTGTAAACTTTCATGCGAGTCACAGTTTGGAAAAAGAAAGAAAGAATGAAAGAAAAAGAAAACCCTATGTGTCACCAACGAAAAAAAAAAAAAAAAGACTTAAATGAGTCCGTGTTGCCAGGCCCACTCAGTGTTGGTTCGGGTTTGTTTGTTTGTTTTGTAGTTGAGGTCATGTGGAAGGTCACCAAAGCATCAGGTTTTTGTTCTGGTCAGTTTTCACCAGCCGTATCTGGGTAATGGCTCAAGTATAGCAGGGATCGTGGAGCTGGCGCGGGATTGGGCGGTGTTTCGTTCTGCTGTGCATGGGGTCACTATGTGTTGGAAATGACTCAACGGCACCTAACAACAACAACATCTGGGGTAATGCCTGGCCTCTGGTCAACAACTTTGAGGAAGTTACTCAAATCTCTAAGAACCATAATGACCTGGTACAATAGAATTTTACTGAGGGACCTAAATAGAATTTTCATTTATTGTTCAGGTTAGAAGGGGACTAGAGTTGTGGACTAGTGTGGCCTGGGGGCCAGGGGGCCTCAGTTCTTATGGGGGCTCAAACTCACTGCCATCCAGTTGGATTCAACTCAGAGAGACCCCTCCTCGGGTTTCTGAGTCGGTATCTCTACAGAAGTAGATTGCCCACTTCCTTCTGAGGAGTGGCTGGTGGGTTTGAACCACCAGCCTTCTGGTTAGCAGTCAAATGCCTTAGGCACTATGCTACTAGAGCTCCCAGGATAGGGGCTGGGGACCCAAAATCCTAGATCTGAGGGATGGAGTAGCTGGGAGCCTGGATTCCAGGGTCTGAGGGAGGAGGGGGCTTGTGGTTCATATTGTAGGGTCTGAGGGAAGTAGGGGAGTCCCAGATTCTAGACCCTTCAAATGGTTGCAGACTCAGGAAGGGGCCCAGGACATGGGTTAGCAGAGCCCTCACTTCCGCATTCCTTTCCTGGGCTGCTCAGGGACAACGATGACTCATTTCCCAAGAGAAACTGCAGGTGCCACTGTTTCAGCTGCAGAGCGGTCATGAGTCCTGCCACCCTGTTGGCTCTCCTGGGGGTCACCCTCACCCTGCCTCTGCCCCGTGAGTAAGGACTCCAACCCCAGAGGCTGGTGGCTGGAGGATTTCCCTGAGTAGGGAGCAAAGGGGTGCTGCTGAGATGAGTTTGACCTTTCCATCCTAGGAGCAGCGGCCCTGACCTGCCAGCACCTGACACAAGATGCTGTGCACCCGGCAACTTCACTGCCCCTCTATTGGAAGGCTGCCTCCAAACTCTGTGAAGACGGCTGGGGTTGTCAAGACACACTGATACTCATTCATAATGGTGAGATGGCCCAGGGCCACAGCCCTCACCCCTCTTTGCCAGACACCCTGTTCAGCTCTACCCACATTCTGTGTTGTAACTCCTTGGGCCCCTCCACTGGCACCAGGAGCCGCTTCCCATCCCCAGCTCCAGAACTGGGCTGGAGGAGTGGCGGGTACCCAGTCACCTCCTCTCTAGCCTCTCTCCCTTATGCCCGGACCCTGGAGTCCTGATCCCCATGTACTCCCATTGGGCCTCCCTCCCTCTGCCTAGGACCCCAGGTGACTGTAGTGCTTACCAAGGGCTGCACTCTGGCTGAAGACCAGGAGGCTCACATCACCCAGCACAGGTCCGGCCCTGGCCTCTCTGTCATCTCCTATACCCACGTGTGCCGGCAGAAGGACTTATGCAACAACCTGACCGACAGCCTTGCCCTCTGGACCCAGCCCTTCACCACAGGTTTGAGATAAGAAGGTGGGGAGGGGATGGAGGTGAGTGGCTGAGCGTGGAACTAAAACCAAACCAAACTCACTGCCATTGAGTCAGATCTGACTCATAGCAACAAGCCCCCCTTGGGTTTCCAAGGTAGTATCTCTACGGAAGTAGATTGCCCAACCTTCCTTCCAAGGAGTGGCTGCTGGGTTTGAACCATCAGCCTTCTGGTTAGCCGTCAGATGCCTTAGGCCCTATGCTGAATGATTCTTATTTAGAATCACTTCCCTCCTTGGCCTCCACCACTGACCCCTTCCTCATAGTGTCTCCCTTGGTCCTCGCCCACTCCCCACTCTCTCCCTTCTTCATCTGCCTCCTCCCCCATTGGCTTCCTCCTCTGTCCCACTGCCCACCATTTCCTCACCCAGTAGTTCCCTTCCTCACCTGTTCCTGGCTCACTCCATCTATCCCTTGACTGCTCCCTGGCTGGTTGGCTCACTTCCTGCTTCCTCACTTCCACCTGTCCTTCTTGTCCACTCCCAGGACTCCCCTAGCCTAGCTTCTTCTAAAGGCCCTGAAGTGGTCAGATGTCCTGCTTCTAAGTGAAACCTACCTCAGACTGGTGGTGATCTAACCTGGGCATCTTGTTTTCTGTACTCTGTGTTTGGTTCAAAGAGGCAGTCTGCTTCTGTATAAAGATTGACAGCCTTGGAAACCCTATGGGGCAGTTCTAGTCTGTCCTCTAGGGGCGCTGTGAATAGGAATTGAGTGGTGGGTTTGGTTTGGGCTTTGCTTCCATAAAGATTGATAGCCTTGGAAACCCAATAGGGCAATTCTACTCTGTCCTCTAAGGGATGAGTGAGTGGAAATCGGCTCCACCACAGTGAGTTTGGTTTTTTGGTTTATGTTTGCTTCACTAATGCTTTATTGAGGGTTATTGCATTTCCTCTTCCCGAGTGAGCCTGGTCTATAGCTTCCCTTTCTCCCACTGTCTTTGTCCAATGTTGGCATGGACGCTACGTGAGCTTTATGAACTCCACTTGGAGGGCCCAGTTCTGCGTTTCTCTTTGGGATATTTTGTGAACATCCTGTCTCCCTTGACTGTTTAGTAGAACTTGCAGGTGAACTGATTCCTTCCTGGCCCAGGAGTACCTCCCCGTGCCCTGACTGATGTGTCTGCAGGTGGTCTCAGAAGGCTTCTCCTCTCCCCTCACCGCTCCCACCACACCCCTAGCTGGAACATCAGTGTCCTTTCCCTGATTTGACCCCCTCTGTATTCAGGTCCCAGCTGCTTCTCCCCAGATCTCTTATTCTCGCTCTGTCACTAACCCAAATCCCTAATTCCTCACACTCTGGGCCTGTGTGAGAGAAACCAAGAAGGCATGTTCTAGGAGGTTCAGGAGGTTGACTGGGGCCAGTGAAAGCAGGGCGGAGAGGAGGCATCTTAGCCAAACCCAGAACCCCTTCAATCCCTCTCACACTCTCACCTCTGCAGTTGCTCCAGCCCCCCGAGGCGTGCAGTGCCCCACCTGCTTGTCCAAAGACGGATGCCAGGAGATTGGGACCGAGCTTCCCTGCCCCACAGGGCTCACACATTGCTACAAAGGTGTCCTTACACTCAACGGAGGTACTTTGCTGGGGACATCAGGGTCCCTGAGGGGGGCAGATCCCCAATGGCGAGATCTGAAAGCTGAGCTATGAGTCTCTAGGGGAGGAAGGGTAAACTGAGACCTGGGTCCCAGAGGAGGGTGGTACTGACCTCCTTCTCGGGGTTGAATGGTCTTAACTTCAACATCAGACTCTTCCTCCCTCTCCACAGGGGGGATCACCACCAAGCTGAGTGTCCAAGGATGCATGGCCCAAGAAGGCTGCAGCTTGCTTCATGGGACCCAGAAAATTGGGTCCATAAGTGTGAGTGAGAACTGCAATCCTGAAGGTGAGTCTTATGTCCAGGAGAAGAGGGCTGGTCCTGTGCTGCAGCCTTGAGGCATAAGTTGTTGTCGTTGTTGCTGGGTGCCAGTGAGTTCATTCTGGCTCGTAGTGATCCCGTGTGACAGAGTGGAACTTCACCGTAGGGTTTTCTAGGCTATAATCTTTACAGGAGCAGACAGATCACCAGGTCTTTTTCCTGGAGAGCTACTAAGTGGGATTGAACTGCCAACCCTTCTATCAGCAACTGAGCCCTTAGATGTTTGCTCCAGTAAGGTCCCCCTTTGTTAAAGTATGGGGCATTCAAACCCATCACACCAAAGCCAGCAACTACAGTACTTTAGAAGCTTATTACTCCCCCAGGAATGTGTAAAGTGAGCAGATTGTCTGGGCAGGGGAGGAAGAGAGAGAGAGAGGGCAATGTCCAGGGGCCCTCAGTAGGAGTTTTAAATGGGGGCAGGTAAGACTGAGTTCAGGGCTCAGTCCTGGTGGGAGGGGAGCCAGGAGGGCAGGTGTTTTGCAGGTGACTTTACAAGGTGCAGTGGAAGTGAGTGCAGGGATGTGGGCAGGCTTTCCCCCCTAGCTGGTAACTTTTCTGGGAATCACTCATAGCTTCTGATGTTCTATTTCTACGCACTGCTGACCTCTGACAACTTGACCATCCCCTCTTCCCCTTGACCTTCCCCGGCCTCTCTACCACCCTCATATACTTCCCACTCCTTGTTGAATAGGAAAAAGAAAAAATCAAGTCAAAATCTGGGGTGCTTCATGTGTGACAGAGAAGGCAAGAGCCAAACAGGGACACTGAGGGAGTCTCCCACTTAACCGCAGATAGACCTACACATGGGATGGGGAGCACCTTGGAGTGTCTCAATAACAAGGGCCAAGAGGCAAGGAGGGGATGGGGAGGACCACAGAGAGCTGGATAGGAGAAGGGTCTTCCTAGTCTGAGCCTTCCTCGTCTGCCCATGTCACTAGGAAGCTCACAGAAAGAAGCTGAGTGGATTCAGCAGACATGCCTACTTGTGATGGGTTCTGTCTCCTTGGCTAAACTGGGAGCCCCTTTTGAGCACAGGGCCAGGATGTCATTGACATCAAGGTTTCCAGTGGTGTGGCTCAGGATGGGTGCTAGGTCATGTTTGTTGACTTGAGTTCATGCAGAAGAATTCCAAGGCCATCCATGGAGACCCCAAATGAGTCAGACCAGGTCCCTGCTGTAAAACATCTCTAAGACTAGGAAGGGGAGATGTAACAGACTCAGATGGTCAGAAATTGGGTGATCAGGGCTGCAGGAGAAAAGGTTTGAGGCCTAGGGGAGCTCAGAGGAGGAAGACACTGATGACCTGGGGTGGAGGTTAAGGGGCAGAGGGAACAGCACTGCAAAGGCCTGGAGGTGGGAGGAAGCCGATGTTCTCAAGAAGGACTCCTCAGCATTGCCTGAGAAGGCCTCATTAAGAAAGGGAGTGCAGCTGGAATCAAAGGATGATTACACCTTCTCCAGGTTGACAAGGTGGGTGTGGAGAACAAAGGGAGAGCTATTCCAAGGAAAAAGAACAGTGGGTGCAAGGTCAAGGAGGCAGGAAGTAACCAGGCCTATCTTGGGAATGGGTATTAGTGGGGGTAGAGAGGTAGATGGAGGGCGTGGTGGTCTGTCAGCCACCTTCAAAAGCCAGGTCGAGTGGGCAGACTTTCTCCCAAGGGTGGTGATTGCCATGGAGGGGTAATGAGAAGGAGGGGACAGAATCTGAACCCTCAGCTGTGGGACTAGGTGACATTTATCAATCCAGTAGTCATTTCAGCAAAAAATCAGAAACAATACATAACACACACACCACATACTTACCACACGTGCACCACATACACAATACACACAACACACACACAATTCACACATACCACATATCACATGTCATGTGCACCCCGTGAACATATAGTACATCTAACACACACACACACATCACATACCGTGCTACACACACACACATCACATACCGTGCTACACACACACACATCACATACTGTGCTACACACACAAACACACACATCACGTACCATGCTACACTCACACACACATCACATACCATGCTACACACACAAACACACACATCATATACCATGCTACACACACAAACACACACATCACGTACCATGCTACACTCACACACATGTCACATACCATGGTACACACACACAATTCACACATACCACACATCACATACCATGCTACACACACAAACACATACATCACGTACCATGCTACACACACAAACACACACATCATATACCATGCTACACACACACACGTCACATACCATGGTACACACACAAATGCACACATCACGTACCATACTATACACACACAATAAGCACACACCACCCCCATCACACACACACCCATATTGCTACACAAACCCACCATACACAAACCATATATTACATGTCACACACACATACTTGCCCCCTATACATACTACAACACACCACAAAATTCCACACACTTCACACATATACCCACACACACTACATACACCAGATACATACGACACATCACATACAACCAGAAAAAAAAATCTTGTTGCCACTGAGTTGATTCTGACTCACTGAGACCCTGTAGGACAAAGTAGAACTGTCCCCTGAGTTCTTCAGGCTGTAAGATGCACAGAAGCACACCGCCACGTCTTTCTCCCATGGAGCAGCTGGTGGGTTCAAACTACTGATATTTTGGTTGGCTAAGCACTTAACCCTGTGCCACCAGGACTCTCATCACACATCACAAAATCCCACACACCCCCAACACATATACTTAACACCACATATACATACACAACTCTCAATACACACTCCACACACACACCACATACCAACGTGCACACACACACCCTCCATGGATCACAGAGCTATTACCCCACAAATGAATATTCCCAATACCTTCTGTGTTTTCCTAGCTTTGACACTGGAGCCAGATCTTGGAACCTTCACTGGTTCAGTTCAGTTCAGGTTTGTAAACATTGATTGAACATTAGTAAGAACAAATGTCAGAAAGGGGGGATCAGGTTTGCTGGCCTGATGGAGCCTGGTGGAATCACTGAGACTATGGCCCCTCGCTGCCCTTCAGGTCTGGAATTGAACCCACACCTGTGGCTTTCAGCCAAACAAAAGACAGGCATATGAGTTGAACATGTACCTGAGGTAGATACACTCCTTGAAAAGAGCAATCATGGGAGAAAGAAGGGCTGTGTATGGACAGGGAGACAGCTTAGGGGGCAGGAGTACATGGAGGGGTGGACACAAGGAAGAGCTAACTATCGGGAGGAAGTGGGATGGGAGCTGTTGCATTGGGGTAAATTGTAGTCAATGTCATGAGACAAAGTGTATGTGAACTGCTGTATGGAAAGTGAACTTGCTCTGTTCATTTTCACCCAAATCACAATTTAAAAAAAGAAAAAAAGAACAGATGTCAGAGGCTAGAGGTACAACAAGATGTCAGAGAATAAGTGGAGGAGGAAAAGGCATTCCAGAGTGAAAGAAGAACTTGTGCAAAGGCTTGGGGAGGGGATAGAACTGGGTGCAGGAGCACAAGTTTCCCAAAACAGGCCATGGCAGAGCCCATAGTGAGGAAGCAACACGAATGACCTTCACTACTTCCCTAGGGAATTGGGCCCCTGTCCTGAAGACAGTGGACTCTGGTGAGAGCCATGGGCCAGCACGGTCAGGGGGATCATTGCTGTCAAGAGGTGTCTGAGTCAGAGAGGTGTGGGTTCCGGTCTTCACCCCCTCTTTGAGTCTCCTTCACCAATGTGCTCCATTAATATTTATTTATTGATAGTGCAATGGTTACACACTCAGCTACTAACCAAAAGGCGGGTGTTTGGACTCACTGAGTGGATCTGTGGGAGAAAAGACCTAGACACCTTCTTCCATAAGATCACAGCCTAGGGAACCCTCTGGGGCAGTTCTGCTCTGTCACTTGGGGTCACTATGAGTCAGAATTGACTCTACGGCACACAGCAACAATAATATTTATTTAGTGAGCCCCTCCTACTGCCAGACACTGTAACTAATGCTGAGGATACACCAGGGAACAAACAAAATGAAACAAAAGTCCCGGTCTTCATGGGGCTTACATTCTTCACGGAGAGGGTAGACATTCAAAAAATAAATACAGACAATCGGTACTACTTCAGGTGATGATAAGGGCAAAGAAGAAACGCCAGAGGTCAGACAGAGAATGATGGTGTGTGTGTGTGTGTGTGTGTGTGCTGTTCTTCGAGGCAGGATAGTTAGAGGGCTTGAATGCAGTGAGGGATGAGTGTTGTAGAATTCAGGGGAAGTGGTTCTGAACGACGATGAGAGCACACAGAAAGGCCCTGAGAGGGGCACGCACCTGTCATGTTCAAGTAAGAGCCAGGATGCCAGTGTGGCTGGAGTGGACTGGAGCAGGAAATTCAGATGGTGCCACAGGCCAGGCCAGATTGTGTAGGGCCTTATAGACCATTTAAGGACGTTGGATCCAAAGTAGGAATCCATTGGAAAGTTCTGGTGGAGTAGTAAGGCATTTGGCTACTAGTCCCAAGACAGGTGGTTCAAACCCATCACTTGTTCTGTGAGAGGAAGATGAGGCAATCTACTTCCGTAAAAATGTACAGCCTTGGAAACCCAATGGGGGTCACTATGAGTCAGATTTGAATTGATGGCAGTGGAGTGTTTTTGGGTGCTGAAGAGAGTACTGAGTTACCTTTTATAAGGATACCTCCAAGCGGAGAACAGAGAATAAAAGGGGTGTCAGGGTGACACAGGGAGACCCAAAAGGAGGAAGGGAGGCAGGTGAGAGCCAAAGGGGTGGCAGCAGTGGAGCTGATGACAAAGGTGCTGCTGGTGTTTTGCAGCTTAAGTCAACAGGACTTCCTACAGGGCTTTGAACCGGTCCATTCCGGTTCTACCTCCTGCTCAGAATTTGCACGTCCACCCCACATACACTGAATCGGCGTCTCCATGTAAGAATGACCTGGGGATTCTCTGCAGCCCTGATGTGCTGAGGGCTGCATTATGAGCTGTCAGAGAGACAATCGTCAGGCATGACAGCAGCATTTTTGGCTTGGGCAACTATAAGAAAGGACAGAGAAAGGGGAGATCGGGGCAGAGAGAGTGGGGTTCAGGCTTGGAGGAGGGCAGCAGGAGCCCCAGTTTTGTTGTCTGTGAAAGGGAGACGTGAGCAGCCCTGCTGCTCACTTCACATTGGGGCTGTTGAGAGGGTTGCATATGTTTATAGAGCCCAGCACAGGTGTTTTTGTATCATGGGACACACTGGGCTGATCATGTGATGGTCTTAAGATGGTCTTGTTGCTATTGTTGAGTTGGTCCCTGACCCAGCAACCCCATGCATCACAGAATGAACAGCCGCGTCAGCCCCATGATCAGTTGGGGATTGGACCTTGTGCTCAGTATTGTTTTCATTGGCAGGTTTTCATAAGATCACCAGGCCTTTCTTCCTGGTCTCACTCTAGAAGCCCTGCTGAAACCTGTTCGGTGTCTTAGCAACATGCAAGCCTCCCCTGCCAAAGGGTGGTGTCTGCACATGAGGGTCATTGACCAAGACTTGAACCTGGGTCTCCTTCGTGGGGAATTCTACCACTGAACCACCACTGCCCCTAAGAGAAGGTCTAGGTCCATGGTTTTCAAATTAGACTCCTGAGGGCAAATGGGCCAGAGCAGCTGAGGATGCTCACCCCTCTAACCTCCAGGAGCCAGGATACCTGAGTTCCATGCCCACCTCTGCTACTTACTAGCTGTGAGATATTGGGCAAGATACTTAACAACCCCTTTGCCTCCCCTTTCCTCATCTTGAAAATGGGGCTGATGGTAAATAGCACCACCTACTTTGGGGGTTTCTGGGAGAGTCAAATGAGGTAATCCAGAGGAGGTGAGCTCCTTGGGAGGGTTAAATGGGTTAATCCATGGAAAGTGCTTACAACAGCATTCCAAGAAAACTCCAAACTCACTGCCATTGAGTGATTCTAACTCATAATGACCACCAGGCTGTAAATCTTGACAGAAGTAGATTGCCCCATCTTCCTTCTGCAGAACAGCTGGTGGGTTTGAAGCACTGACCTGATTAGCAGCCAAATCCATTATCCACTATGCCACCAGAGCTCCTTTACAACAACCTAGCTTTTTCATAAATACTCAGTACAAATGACATTTGGGTAATTCTATTTGGGACATAGGGTGTTTTGGTTACCTAGTGACACTCTAATAGGAATATACCACAAATGGGATGACTTTAACAAACAGGAGTTTATTCTTACAGTTTTTGGAGGCTAAAAGTCTGAGTTCAAAATGCCAGGTCACAGGGGCTGGGTGAAAGCCCCTCAGCCTTGGGCTTCAGCTCTGCCTCTTGCTCCTGGCCCACTGGAGCTAGAGGCTTCTCTTAACTCAGGCAGCTGCTGGCTGCTGAGGCTGACAAGCCCAAGGTCGACAAGTAAAAAACCATAGACCCAATGTTACCAAAGAACACGGCAAATTACTAGTTCAAGTCCAGAGACAGTCCCAAAATCTGTAGACAACATGGCAGGCTGTTGAATGATGACTCAGCTACATGCAGGATTCAAGTGTGCCAAAAGCTGCAGACCATTCCCACGGCTTCTCCTTACATCCAGGAAGCAGACCCCATCCCTAAACAGCCACTCAGCTGCTCATGGAAGATTCCACCATGGCGTTGACTGCCAGTCTCATCACGGGGAATAACTACCGCCAGCTGCCCAGCCACTCAACCAGGCCTAGCCAAGTTGACACATAACCTTAATCACCACATAGGGTTTTTCAGCTGAAAGAAAGAAATGGTCTACCAATGACCATTCCGACCACCATTCTCACTTTCCAGATAAGGAGCCTGAGGCCAGACAGGAAAGAAGAGGTTGTCACAGGCTAAGAGAGGTCTATCTATCTCACACGGGATGGGGGGAGCAACTTTCTTTAAGAAGTGGTGAGAGGTGGTCCCGGCAGGTGCTCAAGCAGAAGTTGGGTGAAGACTGGGGTGGGGGGTGGGAGTGGACTTGGGTTTCCCAAATCCCTTCTAACCAAGATCGAGGGTCTCTTCAACCCGGTCACCTGGACGGTGAGTCAGGAATGCATTCACCTTCCCAAGCATGGGACCTGGAGGGATAGATATGACTGACTCCCTGGATTAATCGGACTCTGGTGACTCTTTCTCCCCAGATGATCTGATGTGTCATTCAGGGACCATGTTGAAGGTTCATTCAAATCTGTCTCAGGAACCTACTGAATGGACTGCAGCTGGGAACCAGACGTGCAATGCTGGCGAGATATGTCGGGAGACACTGTTGTTAATTGACCCAGGTATGTGGGCTGGCCAAGATGTCAAGGCACCTGCACCGGGTCCTATGCACTCCTGCCCTGAGTTCTGACCCCTGGGCTTCCTGATCAGGTCCCCTCCCTGCCTGGAGTTCCATGGGCCCTGATCTGGTCTGTTTGTTCACTGTCACTGAGTTGGTTCCCATGCACAATGAAACTCAACACTGCCCGGCCCTGCCCTATACCCAGCACTTGTTGTGGATTGGGCAATTGTGTCCCACAGGGTTTTCACTGACTGACTTTTGGGAGGAAATCACCAGCCCTTTCTTCCTAGTCTGTCATAGTCTGAAAACTCCACATAAGCCTTCACTGGCAAATGAATAGTGACTGCATGTGGTGTACTGGCTGGGAATCAAACCCAGGTTTTCCGCCTGGAGGACAAGGCTCTTATCACTGAACCAGGCCTCTGGAGGCTGGATTAACTTCCATTCCCTGTGCTTTCATTTTTCTTTGTGAAAAACAGGGTTGAAGTGGTGGCAATAGTAATACCTACCTTGCTGAGTGGTCGTGAGGACATTTGTGATAATCTACATAAAGAGCTGAGAACAGTGTGGGCACAGAGAAACCTTTATGCATCTGACAGGTGTTTACTGAGCATTGGTGGCCAAGTAACCAATCACGTCTTCCATCTTGGAGCTTTATGCACCTGTAGGGAAAAGCAGAAGGGGAAAAAATCAGGAGACACAGGTAGGAAGATCAGAGATACCCGGACGAGGAAAGACAAATAAGGAAAAAGACGTGAAGTTTGCAATTTTAAAACAGGTGCTCAGGGAGGCACTGCTAGGAAAGTGACATTTGCACAAGAATTTGGAGATGGTGAGAAGGTGAGCTATTCAGATAGCTGAGGAGGCAGGCTGTCACTCACCTAGCATTTACCATGTACTGGGCACTTTTCTAAACAACTTTATGTGCATCTCAGTCAGTCCTCACATCAAGTCTGTGATGATTATATAAGCATGGCTTCTATAATCCAGATGAGGAAATAGGGCACAGAGGTGGTAAGTGACTTACTTGTGGGCATGCAGCTGGGAGGTGGCAGAGCTGGACCCAGGCCCTTGCTACAATCTATCCCGAGCATCTTGGAAACCCCAAGTCTGGCTCCTTACCCCTTTCCTCTCTCTAGGTCTCCCTCTTTTTCCAACCCAGCTTTCACTTTCTCACCACCTCAGGACACAAACAGCTCCTGGTGGGGAGAAAAGATTGCGCCTCCCCTGGGGTACTGGATTCTGATATTATTTCCACCCACTTGACGCCACCCGGAATGCTTGTCGTCTCTTATGCCAGCGTCTGCTCCTCCAACTGGTGTAACAGTGCTAACAGTTCCAGTGTCCTGCTGAACAACACCCTTCCTCAGCCAGGTATGGGATCCAGTAGGTTGGACATGGAGAGATGGGGGCCCCGGAGACACAGAGACTCAGGGGCTAAAGGTGGGTGGCTAGGGCTGGGGACAGGGCTTTCACTCCCAACGCTGTCTGCTCCCCAGGTATCCCTGCCCTTGGAGACCGGAAGTGTCCTGTTTGTGTGGAGGTATTTGGATCCTGTTCGAACTCCAAACTCATGACATGCCCTGTGGGAACTACTGATTGTTATAATGGTTACATCAGTGTCAGTGGAGGTAAGTGCTAAAAACCTTATTATGAGCATGAGAGGGTTGGGTCCTGAGGGAAAAAGCAGCCGGGGGTTTCATTGGTCCTGAAGTGAGGGGGAGCCAGAGACTCAAGTTCCTGTGTGTGAGGGAGGAGGGGATTGGGGCTGGGACCTTGAATCTGAGGTTAAAATGTGCAGTACTTTGTGTCCTCCATAATTCCATCTGGTGGTGTAGTGCCTAAGGCACTTGACTGCTAACCAGAAGGCTGGCGGTTCAAACCCACCAGCTGCTCCTCAGAAGGATGATTGGGCAATCTACTTCCATGATACTGCCTCGTAAGTGAGGTTTTGTTTTGTTTTGTTTTGTTTTGTTGTACTTTGTGTCCTCCATAATTCTACCTTCACCCTCTAGGTGAAGTCTCCATCAAAATGCATGTTCAGGGTTGCAGGACCCAAGGTTCTAAGGACTCATGGAGCATTAGCCCGAGTATTGGGGCATTCTACGTGAATGGGAACTTTAAGGACCAGTTTCCTCAGCAAAATGAAGTTTCTCCTGCCCCCCTACCTGGCTTGGGTGGTGGGGCTGGAGCTGTTCCTAGCCCTTCTGTGTGGTGGCTTTTGTTTGCCCTATTCACCTCATTTCCAGGGGTTCTTAGCCTCTGCTGATCCCCCACAGTTGACCTCATGACCTAGTGGCCTTGGACACCTAATTATTCCCCCATCATCTCCATGAATTATCCCCTCGCCCACTTTATCACTTGATACCAACATTTGTGAGAAACTGGGAACAGTTGAATTTGTCCAGTGGGAGAGTGGGCGGTCAAGAAGTAGTCACATGTGTCTAATAATAAAGACATTGTGTTTTCACACAATGTAGTTGTGTTAGACTGGATTCTCTAGAGAAACAAAACCAGTAAAACTTACATATATAAAGAGAAATATATCTTAAGAAAATGGCTCACACAGTTATAGAAGCTGGCAAGTCTCACGTTCTTGAATCAAACTTTTCCTGACTCATGCAGCTTCTGGGGCTGACGAGCTCAAGGTTGGCAGGCAGTATACTGGCTGTTGACTCCAATGAATGATGCAACCAACATCTCCAGGCCGAATGGTGGATTTTTCGCTTATGGACAGTTGTAGGCAGCACAGCAGAATCCCAATCCACCTTCTTCCACCACCCATTCTGTATTTCCCTTGCCCTCAACAAGCACCTCAGCTTGTCATAGTTCTTTGCCTGGTGGGTTAACCTAAACCTTCATTCCTGAAGGGTCTGGGCCATTAGCAGTCATATCAAATTGGGTTTCTGTAATTCTCCATTGACTCTAATCACAGGGTATGGTAACACTAAGAGATGTCCTAAAGAATCCCCTGTATTCCAGACATATTCTTCTTTACCTCCATTATATAATGTCCAGTTATTCAATTTCCCCTTGGTAACCAGGATCTATCATACCAGATAGTACAGTAATGCCCTTCTTTGTCTGTTGATCCAGAGGCATGAGGAAGCCAAAATGACTGGGTGGCATTCTTAATTTCTAGTTCAATGAAATCAGTATTGGGACTAAGATTTCCAGACCCACAGAGCATAGGGTAGCAGGGACAGGAAGCAAAAATTTTTTGAGTGGGCCACTAGGGGTAATAGTGAGTGGTATCACTCATGTTTCCATACCTTGGTTCCTAGACCCGTGAATCCTGGCTATTGGAGAAACATAACCATATATTGGACACTGGTTTAGAGCATATACAGCCTCCTGGAGAACATTGCCCCAACCCTTCAAGACATTGCCACCTAGCTGGCACCATAATTGTGTTTTCAGTAGGCCATTCCATTGTTCTATCAAGCCAGCTGCTTCTGGATGATGGGGAACATGGTAAGACCAGTGAATTCCATGAGCATAGGCCCATTGCCGTGCTTCATTTGCTGTGAAGTGAGTCCCTTGATCTGAAGCAATGCTGTGTGGGATACGATACCATAATGGTGGATAAGACATTTTGTAAGTCCACAGATGGTAGTTTTAGCAGAAGCATTGCATGCAGGGTAGGCAAATCCATACAGAATAAGTATCTATTCAAGTAAGAACAAAACTCTGTCCTTTCCATGATGGAAGTGGTCCAATGTAATCAACCTGCCACCACGTTGCTGGCTGATCACCCTGAGGAATGGTTCCATGTCATGGACTCAGTGTTGGTCTCTGCTGCTGGCAGATTGGGCACTCAGCAGTGGCAGTAGCCAAATCAGCCTTGGTAAATGGGAGTCCATGTTGCTGAGCCCATGCATAACCTCTATCCCTGCCACCATGGCCACTTTGTTCATGAGCTCATTGAGCAATGGCAGGAGTAGTTGGGGAAAAAGGATGACTTGTTTCCACTGCACGTGTCATCCTATCCACCTGATTGTTAAAGTCCACCTCTGCCAAGGTCCTTTTGGTGGGCATTCACTTGAGACACAAATATCTTTACTCCTTTGGCCCATTTAGAGAGGTCTATCCACATACCTCTTCACCATACATCCTTGTTACCAATTTTCCAATCTTGGTCCTTCCAAGTCCCAGATCATCCAGCCAAGCCATTAGCCACAGCCCATGAGTCTGTATATCTGGCCATTTCTTATTCCATGCAATGAACAGCCATATGCATGGCCCGAAGTTCTGCCCATTGGGAAGATTTCCCTTCACCACTGTCCTTCAAGGAAGTCCCAGAAAGGGGCTGCAGTGCTGCTGCTGTCCACTTTCAAGTGGTGCCTGCAAATCGCACAGAACCATCTGTAAATCAGGCACGAGTTTTCTCTTCCTCAATGAACTGATCATAAGGAACTCCCCATGAGGCCATAGGTGCAGACTGGGAGAGGGAATGTAATGTGACTGTAGTGGAGACCCATAGGCATTTGGGTCACTTCCTCATGCAACTTACTTGTGCCTTCAAGTCCTGCTCGAGCCCGATCTCTGATATACCACTTCCATTTAATGATGGAGTGCTGCTGTGCACGTCCAACTTTGTGACTCTGTGGGTCAGACAACACCCAGTTCATGATGGGCAGCTCAAGCCTCATGGTGACTTGGTGGGCCCGTGGTTAGGTGTTCAGTCTCTACTAAAGCCCAATAGCAAGCTAAAAACTGTTTCTCAAAAGGAGAGTAGTTATCTGCAGGGCTTTGCTCCAAAATCCCAAGGGTCTGCATTGCGATTCACGTATAAGGATCTTCCAAAGACTCCAAACAGCATCTCTATTTACTACAGACACTTCAGGCACCATTAGATCTACCGGATCATGTGGCCCAAGTGGCAGAGCAGCCTGCATGGCAGCCTGAACATGTTGCAGAGCCTTCTGATGCTCTGGACCCCACTCAAAACTAGCAGCTTTGTGAGTCACTTGATAAATAGGCCACAGCAACACACCCAAATGAAGGATATGTTGCCTCCAAAATCCAAAGAGGCCCCCAGATGTGCCTCCTTTTTAATTGTGGGGGAAGCCAGATACAATAACTTATCCTTCACTTTAGTAGGAATATCTCAACATGCCCCACCCCCTTGGACCCCTAGACATTTCACTGAGGTGGAAGGTGCCTGAATTTTTGTTGGGTTAATTTCCCAACCTCTAGCACATGTGTGACTCACCAATAAGTCTAGAATCATCAATACTTCTTCCTTACTAGGTCAAATCAACATAATGCCATCAATACAATAGACCAGTGTGATGTCTTGTGGAAGGGAAAGACAATTAAGAACCCTAGGAACTAAATTATGACATAGTGCTGGTAAGTTGATATACCCCTGAGGAAGCACTGTGAAAGTATACTGTTGGCCTTGCCAGCTGAAGGCAAACTGCCTCTGATGGTCCTTTGAAATTGATATTGAGAAAAATGCATTAGTCAGATCAATAGCTGCATAGCAAGTACCAGGAGATGTACTAATTTGCTCAAGCAATGAAACCACATCAGGAACAGCAGCTGCAATTGGAGTCACCACCTGATTAAGTTTACGATAATCTACTGTCATTCTCCAAGATCCATCTGTTTTTTTGCACAGGCCAAATAGGTGAATTAAATGAGGATGTGGTGGAAATCACCACCCTGCATCCTTCAAGTCCTTGATGGTGGCAGTAATCTCTACAACCCCTCCAGGGATGCAGTATTGGTTTTGATTTACTATTTTTATACGTAGAGGCAGTTCTTCTAATTGGCTTTTCCTACCATAATAGCCCTTACTCCACAAGTCAGGGACCCAATGTGGAAATTCTGCCAATTGCTCAGTGTATCTATTCCAATTATGCATTCTGGAACTGGGGAAATCACTACAGGACAGGTTCGGGGGCCTGCTGGACCCACTATGAGATGCACCTTAGCTAAGACTCCATCAATAACTTGACTCCATATGCCCACACTCTGACTGGTAGGCCACAATGACACTTTGGGTCTCCTGGAATTAGTGTCAGTTCAGAGCCAGTGTTCAGTAATCCCAGAAAAGTCTAATTATTTTCTTTCCCCCAATGAACAGTAACTCTCATAAAAGGCCTCAGATCCCTTTGGGGAAGGCTGGGAGAAAGATTGACATTATAGATTTTTTGCAATGTAGTGGGGTACTTCCTCAAAGGGACCTGGCCTTCCCTTCATTTAAGGCGTTGTGAATTTGTAAACTGATTCAGGTCTGGGAATTGATTGAGAGGCCGTGACTCTGTATTCTGGTGATTCAATCTAGGCTGCTGTTCATGTGACCTAGAATTCTTCTGTCTATATAGATCAAGTACATATTTAGTAGGTTTGCTATGTATTTCACTACTAGGAGCACCATGTGCAAGTAGCCAATGCCATAATTCCACACGAGTCAGACTATTCTGATTACTATTCCAACTCTGCTGCCCATTATGGTAACCACACCCACCTTGCCTTTGTTGATTAACTGCTGCCACTTGGCCACTACTACCACAACATCCACTCAGCCCCATCGTAGTTAAGTGTCAGTTCAATTAGGGCAATTCCCACTGTCAAATCTGGCTTACATAAAATAGCAATCACAGCAGTCATCAGGGATGCTGGAGCTCCCTTCACAAATTTATTCCTCACAGTACTGGTAAAAGGTGTGTCTTCTGGACTCTCCATTTCTGGTTCTAGGGGTCTAATCTGATAAATCCATTCTAACAGGCCAATTTTCCTAAGCCTCTGGATACCTTCTTCTAAATTATACCAAGGGAGGTCTGGTACTTCAACTTGACTTAAGGTAGGCCACCGTATAATCCATGCTTCAGTAAGCCAACCAAACAAAACTATTAGATCCTTCCCTAACCTCTCGAGCTGAAACACTGAATGAAGAATCCATACTTAGTGGACCTAAATCAATAAACTCAGACTGATCCAATCTTATACTCCTTGCACCATTATTCCACGCCCTCAGTAGCCATTCCCATATATATTCTCCAGGTTTCTGTCTGTACATGTTAGCAAAATCAAGTAGGTCTTTTCAGGTATAGCGTACCACCTCCTCGGTCACACTTTGTATTTCACCTTTTGGAGCTTGTGTGGACTTAACATTAGTTACAGGTCTAGCAGCAACAATGGGTGGTTGGGGCAGTTCCTGAGAACATTCAGCAATGTCTTCCATGGCCTCTGCCTCAGGCAATGATCCAGTAGGAACAGTTGGGTTAATCCCATCAAACTGAGGTGGAGAGGTATAATGGTTTTACAGTAATCCCATCAGATGGG